GGAAGTATGACCCTAGATACGATAATATTACTAGTGCTCGCTTTCTCAATACACCGTGCGTGGTCTTTTGCGAAATGCGATCGCTTGTGAAGCAGTTCTTTCGACCTTGCGTGTGTGAAGAACTGACAGACGGACAGACGTAGATAGATAGATAGATAGATAGATAAATAGATAAATAGATAAATAGATAAATAGATAGATAGATAGATAGATAGATAGATAGATAGATAGATAGATAGATAGATAGATAGATAGATAGATAGATAATAGATAAATAGATAAATAGATAAATAGATAGATAGATAGATAGATAGATAGATAGATAGATAGATAGATAGATAGATAGATAGATAGATAGATAGATAGATAGATAGATAGATAGATAGATAGATAGATAGATAGATAGATAGATAGATAGATAGATAGATAGATAGATAGATAGATAGATAGATAGAATGTGAATGATTAACGTTGCTTGTGGCTTCCCCTACCGTATGTCTGATTGCAACACTCAACTACTCAAATTAATCACCAAACACGCCGTTAGGTAACGAGGAACGTCCATTAGCGAACGTGATTATCACTAAGATAACTAACACTGCTTGCTAGTAATATGCAACGAAGCCCTCCAAAAATAGCGACCAGTGACTGATGAAGTTCTATTGTACAAGCGATGGGGCGAGAAGAGGATTTGAAATCCGCTTACTGTAAGCGAAACTGGCCACTCTGAATGCGATCGCGTAGACGACAGCTGGGCCTTACCTTTAGCGAACAAAGTGAGCGCTGAAAGGGCCCATCAGCGAAGGTCTGAGACGAGCTACGAAATGCTAGCGCCCACGGGAACCCAGATGGTAACCAACCGAATTTACGTCGGTCTGTTCATGCTAGTCACGTTGCGTTAGCGCTTTTAGTCGTGAGGTTCAAGCCAACGTTACTAGAATAGCTTTTCTTGTAACGTTGGTTCGAGCTACCGTAGACAGCTTTCGTTGAAGACCACTTGATGGTCCCTTTGGGAAAGAGTGCGTATGCGGTGTTGAGAGCATCAGTGAACAGGGCGAAAAAAGGGCGCGGGATTGGAGAAGTAGCGAGAAATCTCGAGCCACTTTCAGCCTCACAGACTTATCTGGTCGTTCGTGAAGAAGCCTTTATAAATGAAGCAGATATGCCTGCATATTTTAATACCAGAAATTACTGTGCATGGGCGGCTTTCGAAAAAAAAAATTCTGGAGCTGTGGATGCTACATACAAAGAAGTTATATTTATCGATTGTATTTATTTATTTAGTTGTTTGCTATTTAGCCAATATAGTTACTGGTGGTGCTTATTTATTTATTCGTGGAAGGAACATTGACCAACACTTCTTTCCAGTTTGAAAACGCTTCCGTTCGAGTAATTTAGCTCGGGTTTTCCGATTATTATTCTTGTGTTGGGAGAAAAAGCTCGCAACAGTGATATTCACGTTCGTCTGGGTTCTCAATAACGCATTCGATGTGCATTTCGTGATCGGTTATGTTATTCTATTATTTTATGTTGGAGTACTATGTTTTCTTCGAGGGGCGAAGAACCTTGCGCTCAAGACTTGTCCCTCCGATGTTCCTTGTCCTGGATTGCACGCGCTGGGAGCGGCGTCCGCGAGCAAGCCGATCGTAGGTAGAAGAGGAGAACGATGAAGGCGGGTGCGCTTGTGGAACGCTCTTACGCTGTGGTGCCCCAAGAGCTATAAAACGCGCTCACTGCCGTCTCTCTCTCTCTCTCTCTCTCTCTCTCTCTCTCTCTCTCTCTCTCTCTCTCTCTCTTTCTTTCTTTCTTTCTTTCTCTCTCTATCTATCTATCTCTCTCATGGTCATGGAGTGGACTTCATTATGAATGAAGTCACGACTGCTTGCAAAGCGGCTGCAGCACGGCAGCGCAGACATGCGGATCTATAGACCGCCGCACTGCTTCGCCTGTCGGCGTGTTTTAGCGTTCGGCAACGCGTCATGGAGCTTCCCGAAGGGGATAGAAGGACAGCGGCCTTGGCCTGACATCCAAGGGCCGGGTGTCTGGTGGTAGCCCTTAGGTGCGAAGTTAATAGGGGAAAAAAATGCCCCGTATCTGCATGTTACACCGCAAATGTCGTCGAAAGACGATAGTCTTGCATCTGCAGAGAGTGAACAAAACCTTTATTTGTTGTTATGCGCAAGGAAATTGGTGAACTGTATTCTGGAGGCGCTGCGTTAAAGTGCCTCGAGCGTGTATCGGAGGCGAACTAGCGCATCAAGTCACGTCACACCTGAGATATGAGCGCTATCTGGCAGTTATCCTGGAAAACGGAGCACGCGCCTTGCGCGCCCGTCTCTGAGGTGATAAGGTGTAGAACGCAAGGCGACGGGTTGATGCCACCACCGTGTAGTTTTAGTGAGGCGTTGGAAACACTTGCCGTATTGTGCAAGTGTTGCGTGGCCAGCGCAGCGTTATAAAAGCTACGATCCTTAAAACACTTATGTATGCCTTTTCTAGTAAAAACATACACAGAGATAATATTGACGTGTTGTTATGGTGCCTCAGATATGCGCAATAATTGCTTTTTAATTGACAATCGCACAAGTATGAACGCTGAACCTTCAGCAATATTGGTGGGCGCTGTGGATGGGGTCGGCCGTTTGGAGTATCGCATGGTCACTTTGATGCCATTTAGGGAACCATTAGGGTGAACAAACAGACATAAATACAGACAGACAGACCAAAATTTCTGCGTCGCAGGTCCCCAAGAAAGACTATCGGCTTTAAGAAGAACAGAGGAGCGGAAAAACGAACGACCGTCCTGCTCTGAATCTCAACTCGCTCCTCCGGGAGTATCTTGGGCTGCTTAACTTAAACGCCATCTCGAAATGCTCGCTGCATCCTCACTTTTGTTGACCGTTATAACCACTGGCCTAAAGCGTTCCCTCTAACCGGCACAACGTCCACTTCGGTGTAGCAGTAGATAGGGTGCTCAGATGCTGACCTAAAGGTCGCGGGCTCAATCCCAGCCTTGACGGTCACCTTTGGGTGGAGGCGAAATGGTTGACGCTTCTGTATTGTGCGATGTCAGAGCACATTAAAGAATACCAGAAGGTCAAAACTCCCGGAGCCTTCCATAAACGCGTCTCGAAATCATGTCGTAGTTTTCAGAAATTAAACTCCAGATAACATTATTACCTCACCGACAGAAAGGCTCACGGCTTCTGTGTTCATCAGAGGCTAGATCTCACGCTTCGGATGCCCCAGCGTTGTTACCACCGATCGCAGCCGAAAGCTTTAACGAGATTCCTTCAGCGAACTCATTGTACCTGCTTGGTATTCACCATATTCACACTGCCACGTACAAGGAAGAAATCGGCAATTAGAATGGCCTTCACAGTTATCTATAAATAAAGCAAGGTTGATGGTTCATCGGGCTTTTTCATATTTGGCTAGAAGATATCCTCATTGTCCTGCTTGGTGCGCGCTTGTCTATCAAGGAAGACCTCGGCTGCACGACTGCGTAGATGGTCCATGGTGCAACGTTGCTATCAGTATGAAGAGATTAGCACGAACTTCCAAACTGCGCGCGATATACTGGATCACCAACGTGAAAGAAGACAGCGACATGCCCCACCGCACAAATCGAAGAAGCTCCTCACTTTAGACAAATTCAGGTTAACACTTACCCACAGTTGCATCCCATGAACCCTGATGTATGGAAGCCAATGACCGAGGTGTTAGTTGAGATCAAAGTGGCTACACGTCACTAGGAATTGTCGGAGCAAGCTTATGAAAGGAGCAATCTCCTCTGATGCTCACGATGCAGTCGCAGCCTTTTAGAGGCCGTTCAAATGAACACCAAAAGGAGTCTTCAGATCCGTTCAGACGAGGACGGCATTCTAAGGCACTGAATGCAAGTTTCTAGAATCTCGGTATTCTAGTAGGCCACTTTTAAATGTGAATACACTTTATAAGCGACCCCAAACCATCCACCGCCGTCGGCGGCGTCCGCAGTCTTCTCTCTATCTTTAAAAGAAAGAGGACTTGGCGGGCCGCAGCACGACGCTCTACCGAATAAGCCACGGACGCGACGCTGATATCGGTGTCAGTAACGCGCCTTATACCCTCTCCCCCTTCGATCGCTCCTCCGCTCCCCTCGCTCGCTGCAGCTGCGCGCGCACCCCTCTCTCTCGCGCGCCCGCCTTCTCTCTCAGTCTCCCGTCGAGAGCGGGTCGTGAGGGGGAGTAAAGTTAAAATCCGTTGGATTCGCTCGCAGGATTTCAAGCTGGACGGTTGTGCCCTCGCGATCTCCGACTTCAGCGTAGCTCCCGCCGACTGGTTCGCCCTCCGCGGTCTCCTGACGCCGTGTAGCTCTCGCATTGTGGCACCCCGCCCTTGGACTTCTTCGACCGGATCCCCACTTTCCTATCTCCTTCTTTTTTCCTCTCGTTGGCTGTCTTCTTCTGCTTCTACTTTCCTTCTATTCTTTTTATCCCTCCTTCCCCCCACCCCTATAAGGCACTGCGCCGTGTCGCCTGAAGGCAGACAGAAATTAGGTGCCTTTTTCCTCTTCATTCTAATCACTACCACCAAATCCGTTGGCATTCGCCAGTGAGTTAACGTAAACTCCCCCGTGTGATCAAATTGCGATTCCCAGGAACCATTACACCATAAAGGCACCATAGTGTGATTAAATATAATAGTGCGAAATAATAAATACTCCTCATAGCATCACTTCGTGTATTCGCACTTAACCATGTTCACCCTCAGGGAAATGCTTCGGAGTTTTCATCAGTTCTTTTTTTCGGGATCAGCACATGTGAATTGGTGCTGCTGGAAGAAGTTAGCGAACAAAGCGCAGTTGCTAGTCCAGTGATTGTGTGTGACATATTTATCCCATGATCATCGTTTTCTTGACAGGTCTCAGAATTACTTCTTGTTGGGTTTGTTATTACATCATAATGAGGCAAAATTTCGGACGCCTAAAACACCACAAAAGAACGCAGAACAAAAAATAACGTCTATGGCAACTTATTTATTTGCAGGAAAAATGCAGAATATGTATACGCCGCACCACAGATGCGCAAAGAGCACTGCCCCACACAATCACTACTGCACATCAAAACGCGGCGTCCTTAGAAAGCTATATCTAGTCAAGCAAATAATAGCAAAATTGGAACTGAGACGTGCGCAAAACCACTGATGTGTCCCTTTAACAAATTAGTGGTGTTTCTTCTTGTGCTTCTTCGCCCTTCTCGTGATGTTTTAGGCGGCTAAAATTTTCCCTCATTTTGTCTGGTTTTTGCCTAGCCATCAGCTGGTAATCTACCCTGTATTGTAGAAAGTGATGAGGGGGACTGAATGAACGGTAAAGAAAGATTGAGAGAAGGAAGGGCAATACGCACATGCGGACACGTTCACAGAGCAGAACGGCTGTCTCGCGCAATATAAGCTTGCCTTCAATCTCTATAAAATATAACGAAGGCTTCGTTGGTTCAATTCACGAAGACTTTTGGTGAGAACGAGACATGCTCACTGGAGTTGTTATACCACCGACATTATGGCGCCGAGGTTTTGTCAATCATAGCGTGCGGTCTAACCCACCATTATCCGCCGGTGCAGATCGGCTCGTAGCACAAACACAGCCCGTGGTCACGTCTACGGTCTCGTTTCGCACCGACCAGCGGGTGTGGTCTATCCAGCGTGGATAGGACACCATGATCTTCTCCCACACTTCCATGCACCGGAAGTCACCCGTGGGGCTGCAAAGTCTTGCGGGACAGTTGCACCTGATGATGGGTATTTCCGGTGGCATCCTGAGAGGGTCTACGTCCAGCTCCAGGGAAAACGTGCAGATCGACCTGGTACCGATGCCGCCCGCATGGGTCTTAGGCGCGCATTCGTGGCTCGGGTCATGGGAGAATGGGCCAGGGGTGTCCTTGCGAGCGGCGAAGCCAGCCGATAACACGGAACAGACCAGAAGAACGATCTTATCAAGTCGGCGCATGCCAACAGTGAAAACGGCGAGTCAATCTGCGAATGAACAATGAGTGATCATTATCATATTAAACCTCGGTAAGTATCACACATTGTGGCAATCGATATATCAGGCGAAGCAGTCAGCGATTAGCGGCCTATGCTATGGGGAAACGCATTACAAGGTGGATCAGACGTCTGTATGTAAATCAAGTGCATATCGTGAGCTTGCCACGCACGTAGGCTTCACTGGCGTTAAAGGTGATGGTTCGACGTAAGGGGAGCGCCTTTATTAACGCGTTAGCGCTAAAAAAGCTCGTTTCACAGAAATTTCGGCGTCAGCGTCGTTGGTTGTGAGCGAAAAATTATGTGCGCCACTGAAAAATCGCGAAAGATGCAAATAAAACTACGCAAATTCTGAGTCCGAGTGGAGACAGACAGAGATATATATATATATATATATATATATATATATTATAGCTAGCTAGCTAGCTAGCTAGCTAGCTAGCTAGCTAGCTAGCTAGCTAGATAGATAGATAGATAGATAGATAGATAGATAGATAGATAGATAGATAGATAGATAGATAGATAGATAGATAGATAGATAGATAGATAATAGATAGATAGATAGATAGATAGATAGATAGATAGATAGATAGATAGATAGATAGTAGATAGATAGATAGATAGATAGATAGATAGATAGATAGATAGATAGATAGATAGATAGATAGATAGATAGATAGATAGATAGATAGATAGATAGATAGATAGATAGATAGATAGATAGATAGATAGATAGATAGATAGAATCTTATTCAGTTACAAGTGTTGGGTATTTAGTTACAAGTGTTGGCCGGAAACAAAAGCGCGATTCCGGGTACTGCGAACGAGGTAGTCGGCGGAATGCTGTTCAAGCCCGGGCTTTGTCATTCCAAGCCGTGAGGTAAGGTACCCTGCAGTCCGGCGTCGTAATCGGCCACAATAGTTTTTAGTCGCGACAATTTACCTCGAAGGAACAGCGGTGTCGCTGCGGTTGTTTGCATGCGTCGGTACGAGCGTGAGACCTATCACCACACCGACCTTCTCACGCCAGCGAGGGAACACCATGTCGCCTCAGTGGAAGTGTGGAGTCAAGAACGCTGACGTGGGCGAGTGTGGGCGGCCCCGTCAAAGTGGTGTATCTCTTTGGATTGAACAGTGTAATTTGGTGCCCTTTCCTTTATCCATGGATATGGGGAAACGAGACTTGATAATCAGCCCTCGCGGTCTGCTTCACGAGCTTTTTCGATGCAGAGCTTTTTCGACGCGAATTTGTGAAGATGACACTATTCTCTATGTAATCAATGTAAATAAACCTCTGTTAATATATCCCTAAGAATACGCCTTCCTCCCTGCAAGATGGCCTAAACGGGTCCGGTTGCGGCGGCCAGCTACCTACGACGAAAAGCACCGGACCCGAGCCGCAGACGGCTGGGGACCAAGGGTGAGATCCTGTCGACCCTCAGTCCTAACAACTGGTGGCAGCGATGTAATGTGAGGCCCCTGCAATGTCGTGAGAAGGGAAGCTGCGACGACGGCAGTAACGAGCTACGTGGCCTGGGATGCCACATGAAAAACAAATCGGCCGATTATCCGGAGTGCGCCATTGGCTGACGGTAGGGGCACTGTTCGCTGAATAAGGTACCGTAAATGGTCGTGCAGGCGGCGGCGTCATATAAACGTTCTGAGCTGTTTCGTATACAGCCGGAGACGGGACGGTCAGCGAGCGGGAAGGTGGCGTCGACGAATAAACGTGGCGAGTAGCTTCGTAGATGGCCGGAGACGCTGGCGCACGTGGCCGAGCAACTGCGGCTGCATACGTTAGTGATGCGGTAACAGTTGGTGGAGCCTGAGCTGGCGGCAATGCTTCCGCAACTTGCGATTGAATGACCTGGCGAAGCGAAGGCGACAAGGGTGCCATCTGCTCGGTATTTCTTGTGATTATAGATAGCTGCCGGGCGACCTCCTCGCGTATGAGCGGCATCAACGCAGAGTGGTGGGCGGTGTCATGGCGATAATCGAGGGATGAGATGTCCGCGGTGTCTTGAGCAGCGCAACGTGTAGAAGCGAGCTGCCTACGCAGCTCATCATAGCTTTGGCAGAGCTGAATCACCTCCGCGGCCGTCTGGAGACTCTTCGCAGCCAGCATTTGGAATGCACCGTCGTCGATTCCTTTCATGATGTTCTTGATCTTGCCTGCCTCGTCCAGAGTCGAATCGACGAGCTTGCAGAGAAGTAGCACATCTTCGATGTAGCTCGTGAAAGTTTCATCTGCTCTCTGTACTCTGCCCCGCAAGCGCTGTTCAGCACGAAGGCGGTGGACAGCAGGACGGCCAAAGACTTCCGCGAGGGTTTTTGCCAATTCCTACCAGGTACTGAAATCACTTTGATAATTTTTGTACCATAGTTTTGCCACGTCGGTCAGGTAAAAACTCGCATTTGTGAGCTTATCGGCTGCGTTCCACTTATTGTATGCGCTCACCAGTTCATACTCGGCAATCCAGTGGTCCACATCTTGGTCCTCTGTGCCACCAAATATGTGGGGGTCGCGCTGCCGGAGAGCGCCAGCGCAGAAGACAGGCACAGGTGCGAGATCTGGAGTAGCGGCCTGAGATGGCCCCGGATCAGTCATTGTAGGAGGTCGTTGGAGTGTGCGGCTGCGAAGTTCCAGGGTGAGGACCATGCTGCAGATGTACCCAGCACTTCCACCACTTGAAACAAGTTGTTGAACAGGCAGGAGTTGACTCGGCGAACGAGAGCTTTATTGAGCGCAAGGGCTAACTAAACGAAAGCCTGCGATCACAGCAAGTCTTCTTCCTTTTCTATACTCGAGCTCCATGCCCACTGCCCTCGTTACATAGCGTTCTTTACATTCCTTGTCGGCACTGAGGTGGGCTCCTCCGTAAAGCTTGCATGTTAGTATGCAGCGGTGTTCCTTTTCGGGGTTTCATACACTGCATCCTCGGCAGATAACGTCTCCAGGGTTCGGGTAAACGTCCGCTCGATAGCGGTAGACACACGCTCTTGCCTGTAGCCCGAGCCTTCACCCCTCAGGTGGAAATCCTCTTCTTCTTCTCCCGCTTTGTCGCTACGGACAAAACCTTCGCCGACTACCCGGCGGAATCCCTACGCGCTCGGGCGCTAACTTCCGTCTTCTCCTGATCTCTCATCTCCACTGCTCGGTTAAATACCTTCCGCGCGACATTCCAGAAGGTTCTCGTCATTTCGTAGGCGTGATACTCAGCGAAGGCTGGGGAGAGGGCGAGACGGTTGGAATGCCCTCCGCGGCGGATGACTCATCTCGGTATGACCACGCCCCTTCCTTCTAGAAAAATCGAGCGCTTGCTCGGCCGCCATTGTGGGGTGAGGAGGTTCGTCGGCGAAGCCACGCTTCCGCGGGGAGAGGGAGCGTGCCCGGGGAGCTTGTTTTCTTTTTTCTTTTTCTTTTATCGTTGACCTCGCGGCATCACTCCGGCGTTTCGTCGCGAGGAGTTGGCGGCGCGCTCTTTTTGAGCGCTCGTTCTGTGACACTGCCCCCCCCCACTTTAAGAATATTATCTCATAACATTCAAAACCACACAAACGAGCGCGAACAGTCACCACACACTCTCAAAGACTGTAACATAGTCCTTCGCTCATGACACGTCACATTCACAATATATCACTCAATACGATTGGACATTACAAATTCAATCTCACACACATGAAATATAACCGCAGGTACATGAGTACAGCGCTTCATCACACATTCCAAAACAATACAAACATATAAAGTTCTGTCTTTACCACAATTATCCAACGCTATACATCACAGCACAAACACTTCGACACTTGTGACACAGGATAACACAACATTAACACAACATATGGCACTCAACACTGCCAAACACATTCTGATTTGACTTCAGCACTTATCCTGTGTACTTTGCGCGGCGCTTGCGCCCTTTCTTGCGGTGCTCGCTCGATCTCTTCTTGTGTTTCCACGTTCTTTTTCAGCGAGCCCTTTCCAACGACGATATCTGAGGCGGCGTCTCAGCCATCGTTGTCACTTCCGACACCATTAACAGGTCATAACGTTCAACGGGTCCTGTCGGTTTATTTACCAGCTTGTTCATGTCACGGTATTGGGCCTGGCTGGCCGACTCCGTCATTTTTACGCTCTCGGTCGGTTGGGGTCATGCCGACGTACGTCCAGCTGCGCACCCCGTGAACTCATTCAACTCGATAATCTTCTCATTCGCTGTCTCTTGCGCCGCGGCTTCACCTTGGGCTCTAGTGAGGTCCGTCACGGGATGCTTCCCCACTGTATTTCGCGGTCGCGGGGTTGCCGAGGGCTCTATCTTAGGGTCTTCTCCCAAACATTCCGGTTCATTCGGTCCTCGCCTCCGTCGATGTTTCCGATGACAAGGTCGTAAAGGGGGGTCGTCATACATAGATCGGTAACCTTTCCGCTGAAGTACGGGGTTTCCACATCAATCTCTGCTTCGGGAAGCATCCGAACTGTACGGTCAATTAAGCAAACCGGTTTCGTTCTGCCTGTCAACTCACTTTCCCGTACCAAATTTCTCCGCACGATAACCGTGGAGCTACCGGTGTCTCTTAGAACCGTAATCTTCTTGCCTGCAACCTTTCCAGGCAGCGTTGGCATTCCCTTCGTAACACCGGCTGGCTGTTTTGACATTACAGCACCCACAATAGGAATTTTCTCCCCCATTCTTCTTCAACTCTACGAATCCATTGGTGACGGCATTATTATCAGATTTCGGTGCCACTTGCACACAGGATACCTGGTGAGTTTGACTCACTCCGTTCCGACAAGCGTCTGCTTTGTGCCCAGTCTGACCACACTTGAAACATTTTACTGCCGTAGGGCTCGTAAAGATCGTTCGACAGTTTTTCGCGCGATGACCCACTCGGTGCACAGAAAACATCGCGGAATGCTCTCTGGTGCACGCTTCTTTTCTTCGGGAGCCGATTTCTTCGAATCTTCAGGACACTCCTTCTTGACCTTGGCC